CTGCTGCTGCTGCTTCTTCTTCCCTTGTCGAAAATGGCTTCTTTGTGCTGCTCGCGTTGCCTTGAGTTGTTGGGGGGGTTTGTTGTCATGTTTGTGTGTGTGTGTATGTTGTTTTTCAAGGTTTAGAAGTGGTCTGTGGGTAATGTGTGTATGGAAGTTGTGCTGTGCTGGGGGTGCCCGTGGACAGTAAGTACCCTCTGTGTGGGAAACAGCTGTTTGTGATAGAGACTGGTGAAATATAATGTCACTCACCAAGGCACAATGCTAACAACAGCAGCAAATCCCCTCTATTGTAGAGCTCCCCATTGATGTGCAAGAGGCTGGCAGAGTTATATGAATAACCCAAACGTGCTGTTTACATTGGTGGGTTACACACAGCCAGTGCCATGTGTTACCCTGTTAACCAAACATACTACCTACTGAAGTGACACAGCTGATAAACATCCTCAGCATATTTCATTTTCTCACGGTGTTCAGAACTACTTTGAACTGCTCTGTTTGATGTAACAAACAATGTGCAGTTTTCCATGGAGGCCCAAACTTGCGTTCCACAATTTCCCAGGTTTTTACAAGAGGAAATGACAGCTGGTGCTATTCTGGAAATGTTTAAGCTGGTGCGTTCTTGAATGGTTGAAGCTTTGAGCCAGTTTACTTCTTGAGCTAGTTTGGCTTAGTGAGAGAGTCTTCTTCAGAGCTCCTGTGGGTTAAAAGCCACATGTCCTTCTTGGGGAGCTGTAAAGAGGTGGGTTAGAGTGGGATATTCAGAGTTAGAGTGGGATATTCAGCCAAGCTGGAGAGGTGTTGAAGTTGCCGTTGAATTCAAGTTCTTAAAAGTCTCATTGCCAGTCTGTGTGTCAGCTGTTTGACACAGCCAGTATAGTGTCATAGGAAGGATTCAAAATGACCTGTTAATCCTTATCCTGCCAAAAACTATACACAAGAAACACAGATCCCAAACTGAGGTCCTGCTGTGCTGGATGCATATGTGTTTGTCTTAGGGATCGCCAGATGAGCTGTGCAGCAGTGGATGGTGTTTCTCTTGAAGGGCAGTCAGTGCTATAGTCCTAATCTATTGCTGCCAAGAGACATAACGGGGAGGAAGTAGCATGTTTCACAGTAAGGAATGGATGAGTACAATCTCCCCAAACCATGGGGAGGAGGCCTGGGAATTGAATCACAGAACCAGTCAGGTTGGAAAAGATCTCCGAGGTCATCGAGTCCAAGCTATTACCTAACCCCACCATGTCAACCAGATCATGGCACCAAGTGCCATGTCCTGTCTTTCCTTAAACACCTCCAGGGATGGTGACTCTACCACCTCCCCGGGCAGCACATTCCAGTGGTTGATCACCCTTTCCGGGAAGAAATGACTCCTAATGTCCAACCTAACCCTCCGTGCAGCTTGAGACTATGTCCTCTCATCCTGTTGCCTGTTATGTGGGAGAAGAGACTGACCCCAGCCTGGCTACAGCCTCCCTTCAGGTGTAGGCAGACTGAGCCTCCCAGATGGTGATCCAGAGGAGCAACCATGCTTCCCCTCCAAGTTCTAGTGTTAGAAACCTTTTAATCATGAGAGTGTTGCAAAATTAATTTGCATTGAAGATGCTCATAGTACATTATCTAGAATAACAAAGCAAAGCGTCATCCTAGATATTTTATTTATCTAGTAAATAGACTTAATTGGAAGTAATGGATTTGCTTTAAAGTCTGGGGACTGTCAGAATTTCCTCTGGAAGTGCCTCCTTTTTTATTTAACAGCATATAAAAGTATTTTAAGTTCTCTTTTACCAAATGTTGAGTTGCTGACATCTTTGTTTAATTAAACTGTTTCCAGAAACATCCCTGAAACGTGTGAGCACCAGTTTTCCTAGTGCTACTTGTTGATCACCCTTTCCAGGAAGAAATGACTCCTAATGTCCAACCTAACCCTCCGTGCAGCTTGAGACTATGTCCTCTCATCCTGTTGCCTGTTATGTGGGAGAAGAGACTGACCCCAGCCTGGCTACAGCCTCCCTTCAGGTGTAGGCAGACTGAGCCTCCCAGATGGTGATCCAGAGGAGCAACCATGCTTCCCCTCCAAGTTCTAGTGTTAGAAACCTTTTAATCATGAGAGTGTTGCAAAATTAATTTGCATTGAAGATGCTCATAGTACATTATCTAGAATAACAAAGCAAAGCGTCATCCTAGATATTTTATTTATCTAGTAAATAGACTTAATTGGAAGTAATGGATTTGCTTTAAAGTCTGGGGACTGTCAGAATTTCCTCTGGAAGTGCCTCCTTTTTTATTTAACAGCATATAAAAGTATTTTAAGTTCTCTTTTACCAAATGTTGAGTTGCTGACATCTTTGTTTAATTAAACTGTTTCCAGAAACATCCCTGAAACGTGTGAGCACCAGTTTTCCTAGTGCTACTTGATTCCATTTTGGATGAGTTATCTTACCTACTGTTGGTATAGGTGATGCTGAGAGATCCAGCATTGAAAACTCTTCTGGCTTTTAGGTTGGTAGGCTTAAAAATCACTGTTAGCAACAGAAACCCCACGGAGCGAAACACATTTCCTGTTCATTACAAGACTCTCCTAGGAAGGCAGAGGATGATAATGAGGTTTGGTAGACATTTCATTGCCATGTAAACTTTATCCATTACCAGTGGGACAGGCTGCAGTTGGTTTGTAGGTAATTTACCTGCAGTGACTGGATGTCTATCTGCATTTTCTGGACCAAGTGCCACAGCTCTTCCATCACTGCTGCATACTGGGAACATCAGCATTTTCCTGTGGTGATGATCCTGTATTTTTGCTTAACCCATTTCTTCCTTTTGGTATTACATTGCTGTAATTTCTCTCTCTTTGTCTCCTAGGTCTCCTTGTGGGAACACTAGACGTGGTTTTGGATTCCAGTGCCAGAGTTGCCCCATACCGTATTCTGCACCAGACTCAGGACTCTCAAGTGTACTGGGCAGTGGCCTGTGGTATGTGCTGCTGTGACTCTTGTTGGGGTCTGGGTTTGAGTGATTCTGTTGTCTTTTTGGTTCAGATGATCAGTTATCCCACTTAGGTGTATCCTGTGACTGCTCAGGAAACTTTCTAGAGCTTTTGGTGGGGTAGTGTAAGATACCAGAAAATGACAAAACTTCTCAGTGTTGTTGAAGCTGTAGTTGAGGAGCTTAAGGCTCTGCAAAAGGTTCTGTTTCTGCAGATGTTAGGGATTTTCTCTGTTCCAAGATGTACTTGTTTGCAGGGTCTTAGTGAGATGGTTCAGAGAATAAAACCATGATGACAAGATTTCTGTGGGGTGATGAATGTTGTGCCAAACTTGCTTACCAGGAGCACAGCACAAGATGAAACATGAAACACTGTTCAAGGTGCCAGAGACTCTTTGGGGAATCTCTTTACTGTCTTGATCCAGTTTATTTTGTATGTATTTCTGGCCTGTGATATAGATATATCACAGAGAGTAGATCTGTAAAATATTAGAATAATTGTTTTTACATCAAGGATCCTTGGCCTGTTTTACCTGAGAAATGTAACTGCTGCATTAGAATATCATGGGGCAAACTTCTGATACCTGGTGGTGAACTTTGATTAAGGCTTTGGGTCCTGATTCTTGCTAAAGAGAAAATATCTTCAGACATTTGCTAGGCCAGGTTGGTTATAATACAAATCTTCACTTCTCACTTTGTGGTTCAAATGTAAAGTCTGATCATGGAGGAGTCATTTGCTAAGCCCAAAGATGTGTATGTCTTGTTTTTCCTTTCCCATGTTCTCCCCAGGCAACCAACACAATATTCTGCCTTGCAGAGCTACTTAAATTCTGCAGACAAGATGTTTAGAAGTAGCTGTGTTTCACAGGAGCTCAGTTTCCCTTTTGAGGAAGGTGGAGACAGAGAGTGAGAAAGAAAACAAAATGGCAGGTCAGAAACTGCAAAGAAAATAGCAGAATATTTAGTGGCCACATAGAGTGCAAATCTGTAATTTTAGGGTATTGTGACACTCAGTGAGTGTTATTTTTGTGCAATTTCAGGAGTGTTTGAGTTGATACTCTCTATATCTCAGTTACTTTTAAGCAGTGCAGCATGGGAAAGTGAGATGGACTGGGTGACAGCCAAGTGGACTTTGATAAATTATTCTACTTACTGGAGTAAATAGGTTGTCTTCATCCAAAGTATGTTTTTATCCTATCTGGTTCTCATGCTGCTATCAGAGTACTGACATCCACTCAGTGTTTATGGCTCACTAGCTGAAAAATGCAAATGTTTTATTTACAATTTGTTGTGTGTAAATACCAGTGGGCAGCAATCTGGTCACACATGCAACTTCAGCCTTTCAGCACTTTGTTCTTACAGCTCTCTTGGTAGGAATCGCAGAATTTTACTCCTTCATGTATGTCATTCTAATGTTGTTCTTACAGAGATGTCAGTTATTGAGGTCAGGCTTATTTTAGCAACTTGTCTGCTAAAATTTGCCTGTCTACTTGGTGGGAGATGCAGCTCACGAAACAAAACAGGACACAGACTTTCTTCCCCTGCCATTGTTGCTGAACCTGTGGGGATTTTCCACAACCAAAGCATCCTATAATTGATAATTCTGTGCCCTTAAAATAAACCTTTTTGTGTTACTCAAAATTATTTATGCTTCAGGAGCATTGTCAGATGTCTGGGATAGATGTCAAGTAAACTTGTACACAGAGGCAGCAACAAATATTTGTTCTCTAACCCCTGGGACCATACACACAAACCCTGTGGTCCTTTGAGACAGGACAGCTTACTTGGTTCTAGTTTTATTTTCAGGTCCTGTAGTTATTTTTGCTTGTGAAACCACAGATTAGCTGGCATTGGGGTTTTATGGTTCAGTGTCCAACTGCAAATACATGAAGACTATTCATGGCTGAAGCTGCTTCTGAAGGAAGGAAGTTTGGCAGAGCAGTAACTTCAGGGAGCTGTTTGTGTCATTTGCCACTTTCTTTTCCATCATTAGCCACACAGAGGTGTCTGATGTACTCACAGAGAAGCTGAGTGGTGGGAGGTTATCCTGTTAACACCTCTAGATATCCCACTGCTTTTGGATGAAACCAGAAGATAAATTTACTGGAATTTGGCAAAGAGAAACCTGCAAATGTCTTTGACTTGCATTTAAACAGATTTCCCTTTGTCTACATTTAACAATGCTCCTTACCTTGTTAAAATTTGAATTTTTTGTATCACTTCTGCTTTTTTTTCCTGTTGACAGTATAGTGATATCTGTCAATAGAGAGGAAAACATCTCTTAGTAAACACAGATCTTTGAAATAAGTAAAGCAACTTTCTATAGAAGAGTTCTTTGAATTGGTTACAGAGTGAAACTTATCCTTTGTGAACTGTTGCAAACTGTGTGGTGAAAGACAACTAACTTTGATATAAAGTTTGCTGAGAAGTTTTTATTTAAGAAAGCAGAGAATTTGCTAACATAAATATTTTAGTTGCTTTTTGGTTTGGAGTTGTGTGTTCTCTGCTGACCATTGTCCCTGGAAAATGGAACCTCTTGGAAGGTGTAAGAAGTTCAGTTGGTCTGAAATTTCAAGGTTCTTCTGAAAGTTCATTATTTTTGTTCTAGAATGCCAGGAATTAAAAGAATACTTCTGGACTGGAACATAGGAATGGTTTTAGTCTGAGAAGGAAGCTGTGTTTGGTGTTCACTGGCAAATAGGATGATCTGTTGGTCATGTGCTGATTGTCCTTGGTGGGTGGCAATGGAGATGTTTCATTAGAAACAAAATGTTGGTGTGCATAAAATATCCTGGACACGTACACAGTTGGTGTGTTTGATCAGTGTTCAGTAATTATTAGTTTCCTGCTGTGAACTTGAAGGAAAAAAGACCTTATTCTAATTCTTTTTCTTTGCTCTTCCCATCATCTTTCTCCCCTTCAATTAGGATCATCTCGTAAAGAGATCACAAAGCACTGGGAATGGCTGGAGAATAATTTACTGCAGACTCTGTCCATCTTTGAAAATGAAGAAGATATCACCACCTTTGTCAAGGGCAAGATACATGTAAGTGACATGTTTTCCTGAAGGAATTCCAGATCCTGAGAAAGAACGGGGAGATGCTTTTAAGAATTTTTTTACCCTTTTCAGTTATACATAAGTATGAAAATGTCATGGAATGCATACAGCACTATCAACATCAGGTCACACAGTCAGAGCACTGGACAAATGTATTTGGGTGGGAAAGGTTATGAGCAGTAGATCCCAAGAAACCACCTGCTTAGGATGCTCCTACTAAATAACATATAATACCTCTTTAGAATCTTTGCTAATTATACCTCTGATGCAGGGAGAATGTGTAACAAGGGTTCATCTAGCAGCAAATGCAGGGGAGAGAATTCTAGCTTGCAAGCAATGTATTTGCCCTGCCACACTGGTCTGAAAGACATCTGGGCTGTAAAGGAACTGCATCCCAACTTCCATGGACCTCCGAGCCTCACAGGTGTCTGCTTGTTGGGCAGTTAGCACACTTCAGATTCCCAGCCCACAAATTCTCCAGAGTTTTCTGTTGAACAGTAGAGATTTGAGTCTTTCTCAGTGTTCCTGTAAGATTCATTGTACTTTCTATGTGCATCTCTGCATGAGAGAGGTTGTGGTCATTCGTTTTTCCTTCTGGCCAGTCAAGATCTGACAGACTGCAGAGTTCTGCCCTTCCTGGCAGATGAGCTTCCTCCTGTTGAAGAATCATGTAGAGAAGTGAAAATAGACCTCAGTTCTCCTGCAGGGTGTTCCAAGGGTTCCCAGGCCAGCCATAAGGAACTCAGTCAAACATTAAACATGAGTGATTGTGGCATGTGTTCAGGAGTAGATCCCAGATTATAGACTCCCACATTATCTCCCTGCCCTTCCTGCTTGTCTTTACTGTTTCTCTGACGTGACAGGAGGACGATAACTGCCGTGTTGTGTTTCTTCTTTGTGTCCAGATTGCTGCTGTGACCTTTTGCTGTACATTGTGTCTGTCAGCAGGCATGTTCCCTTCCATTTCTACTCTCTCTCCCCTCCCATGTCCTTCCAGGGCATTATTGCTGAAGAGAACAAGAATGAGCAGCCCCAGAGTGAAGAGGATCCAGGTAAATTCAAAGAGGCTGAGCTGAAGATGCGGAAGCAGTTTGGGATGCCTGAGGTGGAGAAGTTGGTCAATTACTATTCCTGCAGCTATTGGAAAGGACGTGTACCCAGGCAGGGTTGGCTGTACCTCACTGTCAATCATCTCTGTTTCTACTCTTTCCTGCTGGGCAAAGAGGGTGAGTTATGAGCCTGTGAGTTGTTTTTCTGACAGTTCCTTTGGTCTTTTTGATGCAATTGATCTTCTGTGTGAACTCTTTTTTTTAACTGACAGAATTTTCCTTTGAGGAATCCTTGAGCTCTGGCTGAACACATAGACCAGTTCTTGCTCTCATGGCCACTTCAGTGCTATTTAGACTGAATGCCCAAGTCAATTTTCAAAACATTTCTCAAGCTGTACAAGTACACCTGTTTTACTCAAACTGGATTACTCTTTACAAGTTTTATTCAGACTAGATTAGAGAACCAAGCAGTACTTTTTCACCTTGGTGAGTTTTACCTGGAACAACTGCCAGGACCCACTGTTTACAAAGCTTGAACTCCTGAGTCCAAAGCTAATTTGCTGGAAAGAAAGAATGAAAACTTGACTAACTGTAGTTTGAAAGCATTTACTGGATGGGAGATAGTCCTTTTGGAACTACATTATTTCTAGTCTAGTTAATCCCAAAGATTATTTCCAAGTATTTTTGGAGAACCCAGTAAAAGTATGAAGGAAAGAATTGTCCATGTGTAAGAGGGGGAAAAATGCTGCTGCACTGAGAGCTTGCTGGCTGCTCCACCTGCATTGCTGATTGATTGTTGTTTTGCCTCAAATTGTAATAATAGTATTGTAAATTTTTTTTCCCAGTTACACTGGTGATCCAGTGGGTGGATGTAACCCAGCTAGAAAAAAATGCTACACTGCTGTTCCCTGAGTGCATTAAAGTCAGCACGAGGGACAGTGAACTGTATTTTTCCATGTTTCTCAACATCAACGAGACATTCAAGCTGATGGAGCAGTTGGCCAACATTGCTATGCGGCAGCTGTTGGATAACGAGAGCTTCCTACAGGACAAGTCTCTCCCAAAGCCCAGGAAGCCTCTGAAGAACATCTCTGCATTAAAAAGGTGTGTTTCCAGCAGTGGGAAGAGAAGGCAGGTAACAGGGGATTGCAGTAATAAATCTGCATTACTGTGTAGCTCCCGGGTGACACTGGGGTGTTCTCACTCCAGGGCCTGCATCACTTACTGCAGTCATTAGCCCTCTGCCTAGTCTCTTTTTTTCCCCATCCCAAATTAGAGCTGAATTCACACAACCCTCATGCCTTTCTCATGCATGACTAGGCACTGTCAGAAGGAATTTTCAACTAGAAACTGCTGAAAATTCTATGTTAAAAAAAAAAGGGAAAGAATAAAATTAACACCAGCCCCTTTGTCTGAAGTTGAAGATTTACAAAAAGTAACATAGATTTGTATTGTAATAAATCCTCCTACGGGGGACTGTTCTCTGCAGTTTCAGAATGATGTAACATTTAAATTTTGCAGATGCACTTGCGTATTTGATGGTGCAGTGCAGGACATACCTTGTCAGGCATGTCTGAAGGCTGAAAAAGGAGTTGGTTAGGGGGTGGCATCTCAGTTAGAGAAAGGAACACTAAGAACACAAAGCACAGTCTGAAGGTTGTGATTGGAATGAACACATTAGTGTTTAACTGGGTTTTGCAAGTGAGAAAAACCCCTCTGGGTACTACCCTTTGCTTTTCCCCAGAGACCTGGATGCTCGAGCCAAAAACGAGTGCTACCGTGCCACTTTCCGGCTGCCCAAGGATGAATGCCTGGATGGACATACAGATTGTACCTTGTGGACACCATTCAACAAGATGCATATTCCTGGCCAGATGTTTGTTTCCAACAATTACATCTGTTTTGCCAGCAGGGCAGAGGATGCCTGTTATCTCATCATTCCTCTCAGGGAGGTGGGGATTGCTCAGTGTATATTAAGACTACAGGTCTCTCATGTCTTTTGTGTGCTTCTGTCTTTTGTGCAGTGCTTCATAGGTAATGGAGAGCCTACTAGATCCCAATGGTGCTTGTCTTTGCTTTCTAGGTGACAATAGTTGAGAAAGCAGATAGTTCCAGCGTCTTGCCCAGTCCTCTGTCCATCAGCACTAAGAGTAAAATGACCTTCTTCTTTGCTAATCTGAAAGACCGAGATTTCTTAGTACAGAGAATCTCTGACTTCCTGCAGAGAACACCATCCAAGAAACCATGTGGTATCGACAGGGAATGGAAGTGGAATTTGCCTGATCCTGGCTGTGAGGTACGAAGGAAAGAGCTGGGAGGAACATTTGTCACCTTTTCCAAGCAATGCTCCTTACAGTGTGTTAGCAGTGCTGTTCCAGCCAGTGCTGTCCCTGTTAGGCCACAGCAGGGGAGGGAGGCAGCCTGGGCTCAGACCCTCTCTGTTCTGTTTCTCAGGAGGTTTCTGAGCTGCCTTCCAGCAGCCCTGTGGCAGTTACCCCCACGTCTGCCCTCAACCATCGGCCTGTCAACTTCTGTGCTGGGGAAGTGCCAACAGCCTCCCAGGGACTCCTCAAACTCTTCAGAAGGAATTCCGAGGAGCTGTCTGGACCCAAAGGGGTAAATAACATTTTAATGTAAGACAATGAAATAGTTTGCAGCAGGTTGCAGATTTCCTGGGCTGCTCTAAGAGTAAAAATGTGTTTTATCCCTGGTCAGTCCTGCAGTATCACTGCTGTGTGACACAGTGACAGTGCTGCATAGAGGTAACCTGACCCTCAGCTTACCTTGGCAGTACTGATGTCCCTGAGACACTGGACTAGAGGCTGAGAAATTAGTGTTACCAGTGTTCTGGGTTGTAAATTAATGGCTGTGAACTACTTTTCTTCAGATCAAGAAGGCAGAGAGCTGCTCTTCCTGCTTGTTAGTTAATCATCTTAATCCATGGTTCTGCTTGCATCTATGTAGAGATTTGCAGGCTGTAATGCCACTGCACAGCCTTTGTTAGTGTTGTGAAGACTTGACTTTAAGCAAGGTCAGAACTGATTCAGAACAGGGTGGGTTAGCATTTACACCCTTTGCTTCAGCAGAAAGAAGAGAGGCTTTAAATGTCACTGCGTTTCTCCTGTGAAGTACAGGCCTGAGTATACCCAGAAGTCACTTGCTCTGCAAACATAAAAATGCATTAATCTCCTAAAATAGCCATATTTGCTCCCGTGAAGGCAAAGGAGAAGATGAAGGAAGAGTCTTGGAACATTCATTTCTTTGAATATGGGCGAGGAATGTGTATGTATCGCACTGCCAAGACTAGAGAGCTGGTGCAAAAGGGAATCCCAGAGAATCTTCGTGGTGAGCTGTGGCTCCTTTTCTCAGGTAGGATGTTGTGCTGCATATTTTGACAGTTACTAGGAATAAGCTTTCTGCACATCTCAAGGGAAAAGGTAAACATCTTAGCTCATTTCAGAGGAAATTAATGACAAGTTAACTCCACCCAAATGATACTTCATGGTGGGTTTTTGCCCAAAATGCAATGATCACATTACTGAGATTACTTTCTTTATGGGCATAGTAGCTGTTTGGCCTCCTTTTTCTGTGTTTCAGTGTTGGGACCTAGACTCCAACATAATAATTTAACAATGAGTTTGTTGCTATACTTTCACACCTATTTGTAGCTGATGAGTTCATGCAGTGCTTTTTGGCTCACTCATCTCTGAAACTGGTCATAAATTCTGTACTCTGAAGCTCCAGAGGTAAAACAGTATTTTTTTGTCATTTCAGGGGCTTGGAATGAGATGGTGACTCATCCTGGTTACTATGCAGAGCTTGTGGAAAAGTCAATGGGAAAGTACAATCTTGCTACAGAGGAAATTGAGAGAGATCTGCACCGCTCCATGCCAGAACATCCTGCCTTCCAGAATGAGCTGGGAATCGCTGCCCTCCGGAGAGTCTTGACAGCTTATGCATTCAGAAATCCAACAATTGGGTACTGTCAGGTAAGAAAGAAGTCTTAGACTAGTTAGTCTTACACAGTGACCACGATTGACTCAGACTTTTTCTGCAGGTTTTTGTTCAGTTTCAAGCTTTTCCTTCATTCTGTCCATGTGGTGGTGAGAGAGTAGGAACGAAATGGTTTTGTTGGAACATCTCTTAAATATCCTTTGGATACAGCATTTAAATAGACTTATCACATTGCTGTTAGATGTCATGTCACAATCTTTACTAGTTTTCCTGTCAGAGCTTTCTGTAGTTCAGCAAAAACATCTAATTTCATTGAAAAGAGCAATTTAAAAAGTGATGTTGCACACGGGCAGTGTATTAAAAATGAAGCCAGTTAGTGGTTTATGAAACAACTTGGTGGAAGTTCAGGTTCATTTTGTGTATTGCTATGGTGTTAGAGGTTCTCCCTATGTAGTTCTATTATGACCAGACCGGTACAAAGCTTTTCATGAAAATTTTGAAAATTATTCTTAGCTACACTGTTTGCTGAAAGTGCTGGACAAAAAGTTGTTATATTATTTGCTGCCTCACAAATAGAGGAACTGAAAACAGGAAGGTAAATTGGCTTAAGGTCATCTATTGACTCAGATGCCAGTAAAAGCTGGAAAAAGACATGACTTTTGGTGACAGTTTTGCTGTATTCGTGCTTTTAAAGTTCAGCTGGTCTGTAATGGCAGAGCTTTCATGAAGACCTTCATGTTTTTCTTCTGTACCTGTGTATGGGACCATGCTGGCTCGTAGGCCATGAACATAGTGACCTCAGTGCTGCTGCTGTACTGCAATGAGGAAGAGGCTTTCTGGCTCCTGGTGGCCTTGTGTGAGCGAATGTTGCCAGATTACTACAACACAAGAGTAGTGGGTGAGTCTTTGTCAAATTCATGCTGGATTTTCAGCTACAGGTGCACCAGGATCTCCCAGGAGCATTTTGTTGTTCAGAATTAATTAGATGTGATGCATTTTAATGATGATGAAGCACAACCCTGTTCCATTTAAAGCTTCAGGTGTGTGATGGAGACGTAGGAAGAGACACTTCAGGCTACCAGGGTAGTAGTACTACCTTGCAGTAACAAGGAAGATAAAGTCACTAAAAATTGGTATCAGGAGGGACTATTAGCAGTGAGGAGGCTTATCTAGAAGAAAAGTACTGAGTTCTTTTTACCCATCTGAATGATGTATTAAATCTTTGGAACAGGCTCCCAGGAAAGGCTAGTAAAGCATCTCTTCCTGGGCTTTTAAAGTTGGTCTGTGTAAGAGAGTACAGTTTGATGTAAATACCACATCAGTCATCCTTCACCCCTCCAGTCAGGGCACATGCATAGGTCAATGAGAAGTTCTGTTTCTGCATACTCTGCATGTAGGTATAGTCTCTATCTAAATATGGGAGGTTTTATTGAGAACAGGGAAGAACAATTAATGTCTTAATTTGAGTTCTGATGTTCAGAGGCTTGTATGAAATTAAGTGAACTCCCACTGTTGTGTTTCATAATTGGTTGGCTTGGGTATAGTACCATGATTGCAGCAGTTTGAGTTCTGCCATTGATTTTGTCTGTTTCAGGTGCATTGGTGGACCAAGGCATCTTTGAAGAACTTACACGAGAGTATCTTCCACAGCTGTCAGAAAAGATGCAGGACCTAGGAGTGATCTCCACCATATCCCTCTCCTGGTTTCTTACTCTCTTCCTCAGTGTTATGCCCTTTGAGAGTGCTGTGGTCATCGTTGACTGTTTTTTCTATGAGGGAATCAAGTTCATCCTGCAGGTGTCATTGGCCATACTTGATGCCAACATGGAGAAGCTGTTGCAGTGCTGTGATGAAGGTGAAGCCATGACTATTCTGGGCAGGTACCATTCATTGCTCTTGTTCTTAACTGAGTGGTAACACTACCATTTTAGTCAACATCTCTTTCTACCCAGTTCCATTACATAGCAGGTCACAGATAGCACTCTAGGACAAAACTTGAGCTCCAGAGAGATTTGCTGTTGCTTTCCACAACAGCTGAAATTAAGTGTTGACTCAACTATGGAGGAATCCCAAAGCTCTGGAATTGTTTGCTTTGCAGCATAATGCATTTCTGCATCCCAGTTTGAATTTGAACTCTTAAAGGTTGTTTATTTGAAATCCACATAATAACACTGCTCTACTATTAAGAACAGATCCTGGCAGGAATTACCTTCTAGGAACATAAAACTTAATCAAGCATCTCCCAGATCAAGTAAATGTAAGGTTTTCTTGTTTGAAATGGGAATCACTTCTATGTGCAGAAGATCTTCAGCTTATGACTAGAAATGGATACCCCAAAAATAGGGTGAAAATCAGCTTCATCTCAGATACTTTGGGAGTAGCATTGCAGGTTAGCTGGGAAAAATTAAATATTCCTTCATGTTTAGATTAATGATGCAAAGAAGTTGGGAGTAATGCACTTAGGATATTTCTTCTTTTCCTGGACACTAATCCTGGAGTCTTGCATCTGTTCTCTCTTTTTTCCCCACAGATACTTGGACAACGTAGTTAACAGGCAGAGTGTCTCTCCCCCTATTCCCCACTTGCATGCTTTATTGACAAGTGGAGATGACCCACCGCTTGAAATCGACATCTTTGAACTCATCAAAACATCCTATGAGGTAAGGTTCTGGTTTAGTCTTTGTCCAAGAGTTTTTTCTCTGCTAACATCCAGTTTTCTGCTTTGTGCAGACAGAATCTGAGCAATATTCATAGCTTGAGGTGCTTGTGGAGTCCAGGCTGAAGACATTAATTCCACCTGCTTGGTATGAGTAGAACCTGACTCTGTTGTCTATTGTGGATTACAGAGTCTCCCCAACTCCAGTGGGGGCTGAAATGAAGACTGCCAATAAGTAAAATTTACAGACTAGAGTTTTCTTCCTGCTTTGTCAAAAAACGTCTCCATTCTTACTTGTATTTGAGGATTGTCAGTGCTGGGGAATTACAGAGGGAAATTCAAGGCCAGACTTGTGAGGTTTCTCCATGGAAGCATCCTAGCTCATATGCATAGGAATCCTGTTCTGTGATCCATGTTGCACTAACAGGAAGGTGACCCCAGAACAGCCAGTGCTATTGAAATATCTCCTCACTGGTGGAGGTGTTACCTCATTATTCATATTGGGAACAAACTCATCAGAAATTTGATTCTGAATGATGGAAAGAACACCGGTGAGAGAACTGGAGTTTGACAGTTCTTCTCCGCTGTGCTCTGGTAAATGTGGGATCATTTCCCTTTTTATCTCCTGGTTTTCATCCTATCCTCTTCCAGGTACTTACAGGCAGGCAGCTATCATTTTACTGGGTGTTTTGTTTGTATCTTCAAATCTGCCATCTCTGTTTGTTCTTTTTTTTCTTTTATCAAGGAGTGTCACCAAAATCATACTGCTTGTCAGACCTAGTCAGTAGAAAAGCCTCATAACTTTGGTGTTTCTAGCTGAATCTCATAGGGGTCCTAAAGAAAAAAACAACAGGTCTGGAAGGAATGGCAATCTGTCTGTTCTCTTATCTCTGTCACAGTACAGAAGCTGCATTTGTGTCAGTCCTGACAGATGCTTTTTCAGCTGTTCTGTAGAAGCTTCTGATGTTGGACTGATGCAGGGCAGGGGTGAATAGGGAACAGAGCTCAAGTTTTTTCTCATCTTGCTGCTAACAAAAGGCTTCTAGTGGGTTTAGATTATCTCTGAGGGGATAGTACACTTGTTAAAGAACATGTATTTGAAGAGGGGTTGTTCTTCAGGAGATGATGTTGACCTGGACTCCTTCCTTTCTTGTAGAAATTTGGCAATCTGAAGGCAGATGACATTGAACAAATGCGTTTTAAACAAAGGCTGAAAGTGATCCAGTCTCTGGAGGATACAGCCAAGAAGAGTGTGGTATGTTACTCCCAGAGTGAATGAGCTACCAAATGGCATGTTCATGGAATGTGTTTTGCTGTGAGCATCTAGAAACTTTGTGCTGTAGCAGACCAAGTTTTAAGTGACTTAAAGAATGATTGAATGAGATCTTTGACAAGGAGAGAGGTAAAAAGGACTTGTAGGCCTTGAAATAGTCTCCACTGCCTCGTGCTGTCTGTTTTACTGCTTGCCTGGAATCCTTGAGAAAAGCTTGCTGCCATTTAGTGCATTAGAGGATTTTAATGAAGGTTTGTGGCTAAAGGGGAGTATCCATATCTGTTGCCATTATCTCCCAGGTCTTAGGTAGAGAACCTCATCCAGGTGTTTATTGCACTGTTGGGTTTTAGTGCACCTGAGTCAAACATCTCAAGATAATAACAAGAAGGAAGGGCAACACAGTCTGCTCAGTCAGGTCTGCACAAACAGGAAATGAGCAGAGTAATGTTTTTTCTTAGTATTCAAAATGTCAGCAGTTTCTGCTTGACTGGAAACTCTTCCTGACCTGTTTTCAGGGGTATGAGAATGGTTATATTTTCATTCCCATCCTGTGCCATATCTCCTTATGTTTCGCAGATTTTTCAGTTCATCATACTTAATTTTTCTGCCTTTGAAATAAATTGTTCACTCCATTTTCTCCTAACTCCAGGTCCGAGCTGTGTCTGGTGACATTGGTTTCTCTATTGAAGAACTAGAAGAGCTGTATGTAGTGTTCAAGGTAAGAACTAGAGTGAGCAAGAATGTTCTGACACAGAAGAGTACAAATGGCAAAGTAAGTTGGAAGGGAAGCAATGACTTTGCTTTAATCCTTAATGTAACCTATCAGAAAGCAACACAGCATTCTGCTGCACATGGAGCCAGTAGGAGTGGCCCTGTTATGATCTGATTGATTATTTTTAATTTTTTCCCCCCAAAGATGTCCAGAACACATTGACAGCATTCGGAAGGAAACTGTGAAGTCAGTGGGAAGGCATGTCACATAGCACTTAGAACAGGGAGATAGTATTGTTTGTGCCTCAGCTTTTATTCTCCAGTTTTCCATTTACTTAATCTGTGGTTGTGACAAGATTACTTAAGGGCTTTGCCTCTGTTTGCCAGCATATGGGTTTTTAAAAGAGTGGCATTCCCCAACTGCATTTACCAAGGTCACTGCAAACTCGTTTGCACTGTGCTACACTCAGAAAGAGTAGCTTAGTTCTAAAACCTGCATGTTCCCTTTGCAATAAAGCCTGAGCATCATTTTGTTAAAACCTGAAATCATGTTCTGTGGTTTCCACTTAAAATTGTTCTTTGTTTTTTTCCTAAAATCTGTCTTTTCCTTCATCTTATTTTGTAGTGAAGTAACACTAGGAGTAATGGAGGTGTTAAAGTATGTCCTGAAATGCTGCTTCTTTGCTTTCTCAGTGCTGTTCTTGAGCTGTAACACAGTCTCCACTCCTGTGGGTTGCTGTGGTGCAGTATAACCTGACTGTGATCCTTTCCCCCCAAAGGCCAAGTACCTGATGAGCTGTTACTGGGGAAATAACCGCGCTGCCGCCGCCCGCCGGGACCAGAGCCTGCCCTACCTGGAGCAGTACCGCATAGACATGGAGCAGTTCAGGGAGCTGTTCATCAGCCTCACCCCCTGGTCCTGTGGTGCACACACTCCTGTGCTGGCAGGGAGGTTGTTCCGGCTGCTGGATGAGAACAGGGATTCCCTAATCAACTTCAAGGAGTTTGTGACAGGAATGAGTAAGTGGTGGCTTTGGGAAGATGGAACGTTGCAAAAACGTTTGTGTCCTTTTCTAAGAGGGGAACTAATAATGGTGTGTACAGTGTCATGAGGGAAGGGTGACAGGAAGCCTCAAGCTGAACAAAATGTGCCTTTTTGGTGTGGATTTCTTTGTTGCTTCTGCACAGGACTTTGAGCAGTTAGCATTTCCTCATTGCATGGGGACTCACACTGGTGTGAGCCTGTGAGCAGAGGATGATTCTTTATCCTAAGTGCTATTTTTCTTAAGCTTTTATTTCTTTGCAGGTGGGATGTACCATGGTGACTTCACTGAAAAACTGAAAGTACTTTACAAACTGCACCTGCCTCCTGGTGAGTGATTGCTTCTGTATGCTGCTGCTATTGAGCATGGTCTGTTCTGACATGCAGTTGTCATGGGATGCCTCATTAATTTTGCCAATGAAGTGGATGATACTTCTGTTTCAGTTAGCTTAGACATCTTACCATTTCCTTTTCTGTGAATACAGCTCTGAATCCAGAGGAGACAGAGTCTGCTTTGGAGGCCACAAGTTATTTCACAGAGGATGTGACAACAGAAGGTAATGCAACACTGCTGCCTTTACCTCTCAGTCTGGGCAGGAGTTGCAGCATAGATCCATGTGCTGTGAACAGTGACTCTGTGCAAGGCATGGTCTCGTGCTGGCAGTGTGTTAGGACTGCCAGTGTGCTTGAGTTTGCTGTCTTTGTTGCGTGATGGGAAAGAAGTTTGGAGCTAAGACTCCTTGGTGCCCATTTCATGCAGGGCACAGCATGCTCTGAAGCACAGTCCTAGACTGCTGAGGAGGAGCAGTGTGCTTTCACCAGCCCCTGTCTCCCACCATGATTTAGGTTTTTCATGCAAGTCTCATTGTCTCTCTTCTTGTTTTTGTTTCCTTCTCTGTGTCTGTCTGTGTCTGGCCTTTACTTCTGTTTTATCCCCTCCACCCCTTTTTCTGCTGCTCAAGTATCTCCTTTTGTCTCAGAGCTGGATATCTGCCTGCACTGTGAGTCTCAAGGTCAGTCCATGGATTGTGTGCATGCATTGAGCATGGCTGTGGTGCTGATACCACCTGCCAGCACCAGTGTGCTGATGTAAATACTCTGAAGTCATTGCTGCTGCTCAACTCTCATGACACTCCCACTATTAATAAAGTGCTATAAGTAATTAAATATCTTCCAGTATATTCTACCTATTGAGTTTCAGCCTTGGGCAAAGTAGGTTTTGTCAGGCTTCTTTCACTGCAATTTATCTCACCCTAGAAACTAGTGGTCAGAACAGAGTGGGGGGCTTGCTGGCCTGGGCAGGTGATCCCTGTGCCAAGGATGCATGCCATTGAACTGTTAAACTGTTAGCAGACTAGTTTATTGTGTTTCTTAAAATACAATATTAGGCATTGTATAGGAGGTCAAAGTATGTCAGTCATGCTAAATGTTTGCCAGAGTACAATGGTGGTCAAAAAAATCGGAGTAAGTGTAAGGAGTAGTTGTGAAGTTTGGAGCTGGGTGGCTAATTTAACAGCCTGTGCTGAATCAAGACTTCCAATATACTCTAGTGGCAGTATAGGGAACCAGAAGAGAAGGTTGTGAAGTTAGACTGCAAATTGCTCCCCCAGTGTCACTTCAGTCAGTGAATAATGGTGAGTGTAGGTATTAGTCACATATGTGCTCAGTAGCAGTTTGAGTTTTTTCCATTCATTGTCTTGCTTTGGATGTCTGAACTTTATGCCATCACATTTCTTAGCTGTCTTTCATATCTGTGTTTCACCCTTTCTTTTAAGAGCTCTGCCCTTTATCTCAGCTCTTCAACCCACTTTTTGAATGAAGCTCTTCATCCGGTTCATACCATCAGCCTCTTGCTTTCATCCTGTTCTGTTCAGTCCTCTAAACATGATGTGGGACTGTGAGATCTATTAAATATATTCTTGTATCATTTAAATTTGTATATTGTGTTGTCTTCTGTTCTTTGTGTGTTGTAGTGCTGAAAATCAGCTATTAATTGTTCTTTTATAATACCTTAATTTTTTAGAAACCCAAGAAGACAAAGGAAGGAGAAATGAGAATGGTCCAGAAAAGGGTAATTTCATTATCAGTAGACCACATTCTACTCCTGTCTCTCTCATATTATGACCTGTTCATTGTCCCTTGGTGATCAAGGTGACCTTTCAAAGTGTCCCTTGTGGATAGAGGTAAAGTGGGAGGTGAGCTGGGAAATAAGTCTCTCTTATGCCTTACTGCTGTGCACTTGTACTTACCAAGACGATAGCATTTGTAAATCATGTTGGGGAAGTTGTCAGCTCATAGAGTTCATTTATGAGAAGCCAAGCTGATGCAGCACTGTTAAAATTTTTGCTCTACTGAGCTGGATCAGATAAACCAGCAGAAAACAATGCAGCCTTCCTGGTAGGTGCTTTCCTGAACTGTCAATAAAACCTGCTTCCAGCCTGACTTTCGCTGGCACAGCATTCACTTTCTAAGTCTGAAACCATTCACCACCTGACTAGTGCCTTGTTCTTGCCTTGCAGAGGAGAAAGGCACCAGCCCACAGGACTATAGGTACTACCTAAGAATGTGGGCCAAAGAAAAGGAGTCCAAGAAAGAAACCATTAAAGATCTCCCCAAAATGAGTCAGGTAAGAAGTGAATGTGAAGATTTCCAGTGAGATCACTTTTAGATCTCTGACAGCGTAGTGGGGAATTCAGCAGTATGTGCAGTGATTGTGCAGCATGCTCAGTCCTTGTCTGTAGCTTGCCCTGATATTCTGATCTGATCCTTTGAACCTTTAATTCCACATGTAGAAGCATTGAATTCTGCAGTGGACATGGGCAAACTGCTTTGTTTCAACCAGTCAAATGTATTGGATTTGCTCTGCCTCACAGTCCAGTTCTTGCTGTAAGAACTGCAGTCTGTTTTCCCTCCAGAGCAGTATGTTTCAAATATGCCATTGGTCATAAAAACTTGTTTGGCTTTTTTAGTTTTGCATTGTCTCAAGTTACAGCTGCTCAGCGGAGAGTGAAGAATGTGGTTACAGAAAAGAGAGTCTGATGACTGGAGTGATCTTTTCTGTCTCAAATTTCCTTGATGGGTGCTAATTAAACCAGTTTGGGAATGCTTAGAAGCTGAGCACAGAAGAGTAGGAGAACAGAAGTAAAACTTCAGGTTTTCTCAGCTATGAATATGTGACTACACTGTTCATCTAGCAGCAAAAACCCACCAATATGACATTGCCAGTTGTGTCTTAATTTAGCCACTGCAGCACAGAGAGGGGAGTTTGCCTGTGTCAGACTGTTCTGAATCAGTGCAGTAAGTTGCCACTTTCTTGGTGGGGAGGCAAATAAACAATGAGTCATTCGAGATGGTGCCTGTTGCTTCATCTGCCACTGACAACTTTTTTCAGCCCGAAGTATAATGTTTTGGTCTTTGTCTTTTAAAGGAACAGTTCATAGAGTTATGCAAGACCCTTTACAACATGTTCAGCGAGGACCCAGTGGAGCAGGAGCTGTACCACGCCATTGCCACTGTGGCCAGTCTCCTCCTGAGAATTGGGGAGGTTGGAAAAAAATTCTCCAACAAGCCCACGAAGAAGTCTGAGGACTGCAAAGCAAACAATACCCAAGATCCTGTGAGTGAAGAGGAGTCACCAACATCTGAACAGAGTCAGAATTCAGCAGTGGAGCAACAACCCCAAGCTGACCACGAGGACAAAACCAGTGTTGATGCTCAGCCTGAAAAAACACAGCAGGAAAACCAAACTCTAGGAGATGGGTCAGGGGAAGGACAAGGCTCTCCTTTACAGCTGCTATCAGATGATGAAACCAAAGATGATATGTCCATGTCTTCTTACTCCATGGTCAGCACAGGCTCCCTGCAGTGTGAAGACATTGCGGACGACACGGTTCTGGTGGGCTGTGAAGGCAGCAGTGCAGCTGCCAGGTATGGCAGCACCATTGACACCGACTGGTCCATCTCCTTCGAGCAGATCTTGGCCTCCATGCTGACAGAAACAGCCCTTGTAAACTACTTTGAGAAAAAGGTCAACATTCTCCAAAAGATCAAGGATCAGAAGAAGGTAGAGAGGCAGTTCAGTTCATCCAGTGACTATGAACTTTCCTCCGTGTCAGGGTGAACTCAAGAAATCAGGAATTGTCTTTGGGAGAGAAAACAGGAAGATAATGTGGCAAATGGCAGGATGGTTAGGTATTTTCTGTTTGGGGTTTATTTTTTGTTTAATCAAAGACCAGTAACTACACAATTACAATAGATTCCAGTTGATAAGGGGCAGTGACTGTTCTGTGTAGGTGCTTCTTTGGCTACTCTGGCTGGCAGAATTAGATTTACATTCTCGAGAGCCATTAGAACCTAATAGCCCCTGACATATAGAATTACCACCATAAATTATGCATGTCTGCCTTTTGCTATCTTTTATTTTAATGAAGTTTTATTTCAGACAGTAACTGCTCTTGCCTGCCCTTGTTTGCTGTAGGTTCCTGGGTAACTTGCACAGCCAATGCAGCCAGGCTTGAAACCATGCTCACTCTGGCTGCCAGAGAGCTAATGCAGTGTAGTCGAGTGCTGTAGGACCCTGACCTATAAATAGTCCTGTAAGTTCTTCAGTGCTGTTCTGTGACTCAGCAGCTATGATGCAAACGTGCCCCACTGCTCCCAGCACCCTAAGATCTAAACACAGGCATTGCTCACATCTGCAGGTTTCTTTCAGGTGTGATTTGGCATTTTCATAGCATATGATCACTTTCTCCTTGAGCATTCAGGAGTTTTCAGACAAACATGGTTTTCTAGCGTTTTCTTTTATAATTCTTTGAAAGCCATTGGTTTTAATTTGTCTGGGAAGCCACAAGCTCCTTGACTTGAGTGCAGAAGTAATACTGAGTCAAGCAGTGGGCTCAGGATGGTTATAATGATGGAATAAGTTCCTAAATTAGAAGTGGGTGAATCAGCCTCAGCATTCCAGGGCAGTGGCACACTGATCTGCTGGACTTTCCCTGTCGGTACATTCACTGTTTATTGCTGATTCTCCATTTACACTAGCTAGTCATGGGTCCAGTTTCCAGGAGAATGCCTAAAAATGCTCTGATCAGTCAGCCCTCACAAGTGCTTGGGGTAGGAAGATGTGCAGGAGTGTTGTGCCACCCACTGCTGTCAGTGTGTCCTTTCTGAAGGGTCTAGGACATGTTCTTAGAAACTACTGCCCTTCCAAGGGCCTTTATCCATAAAGAGGAGGAGCACGGAGCAGTGTGGACCTCTGCCATCAGCCCGTTATGGGAAACCTCAGTACTAGATCTCATCCTGGTTTGAGACAAAATAACTGGGAGACTGAGTGAGCACTCTTTTAAATCAATTAAAACCAGAGGAAACTAAGAGTTAGCCTTCTGGTAGTAGGGTGTGTGCTCTGAGAAAGGAGAATTAATGCTGTTACTACAGATAAACTCATCTCAGCATGCAGGCAGCAGCCTGGCAGGGCCAGGTCAGAGGCACTACTGCTGCTTGGCCAGAGCAGACCCTGCACTGAGGGCAAGGTGTGCCACAGCTTCTGGCTAGAGTTTGGAACGTGAGGGTGGGAAGGACACATACAGTGGATGTTCCCATGTAACACTACTTGGTGTGCTACTCAGTGTTAATTCATCCTCGTGACATTCTCGGTCTGTATTCACAGCTGGTACATGTTTCTTATTTCTCTGCCTCCTCTGTCCTGTATCACTGGAGAGCAGCCATTAGTAAAACTGCTTTTACTAACTATTCAGTAATTTATTGTCATTTTTTTAAAAGTACAAATAATACATGTGATTTTACACTGTCTGTCTTATCTGTCATGTACTCAATAAATGAACCTGAATCCTACAGGCTCTTTGGCTGCCTTTGGTTTCTCTGAGTTCATGGAATATTGCTGGTGCTTTGTCCAGGGCGGTTATGGAAAAGAACTTGGTCTGACCTACAGTCTGACTTATTTAATTTCTCTTCTTTCTTCTTTGTTCTTGTTTTCTTTATTTTTGTTCTTTTTTCTTCATGTTCTCCTTTTTCTTCTTTTTTCTTTACTCTTTTCTATTTTCTTTTTTTCTTTCCCCCTTCTTTCTCTCCCTTTTCTCTTCCCCTTTCCCTCCATTATTTTCCCCTCCTTTCCCCCTCTTCTCCCCTTTTCCCCCTTTTATTTTCCCTCTTATCTTCCCCTCATTATTTTGCCCTCTTATTTTCCCTCTCCTATTTTCCTCTTTTCCTCTTTTCTTCCTCTTGTTTTACTCTCCTATTTCCCCTTTACCTGCTTTTTCCTTTTATTTCTCTTTTCTTTGTTCCTCTCTTGTTGCTCTTTTGTGCCTCTTTTGTTCCTCTCACTTTCCCCAGTTTTTTCCTGACACAGCTTCAGATAGGTGCACACCTGACTGGTGACTATGCAGCTGCAAACACGAAGTGTTTCCCCACCTGGAAGAAGATGACTGGATTAACATACAGCCAACCTGTCCCTGCACACCCGTGCAAGGCTCTGCGGTGAGTCCATGCGGGAAGGCAGCTCAGACCAGGGAATCAGACACTGCAATGTGCTGCCCGGGGGGGGAGGTGGTAGAGTCACCACCCCTGGAGGTGTTTAAAGGGAGACTGGACGTGGTGCTTAGTGCCATGATCTGGTTGACATGATGGTGTTAGGTCACAGGTTGAGCTTGATGATCTCAGAGCTCTTTTTTCAGCCTGATGGATTGTGTGATTCTGTGAATTGATGTGTGGGTCTGAGAGAGGCGAAGTGGCTGCCTGTGCACAGCTGGGGCCGCCGGTGCTGTCCGTGCCGTGTCCCTCCGGCTCTGTCCGTGCCGGCTCTGTCCGTGCCGGTGCTGCCCGTGC